TATCACTGTAAGACCCGCCCACACTATTACTGTATGACTCGCCCACATTATCACTGTAAGACCCGCCCACACTATCACTGCAAGACTCACCCACACTATCACTGTAAGACCCGCCCACACTATTACTGTATGACTCACCCACATTATCACTGTAAGACCCGCCCAGACTATTACTGCAAGACCCACCCACACTATCACTGTCAGACCCACCCACACTATCACTGTAAGACCCACCCACACTATCACTGTATGACTCACCCACATTATCACTGTAAGCCCTGCCCACACTATTACTGCAAAACCCACCCACACTATCACTGTAAGACCCACCCACACTATTACTGCAAGACCCACCCACACTATCACTGTAAGACCCACCCACACTATTACTGCAAAACCCACCCACACTATCACTGTAAGACCCACCCACACTATTACTGCAAAACCCACCCACACTATCACTGTAAGACCCACCCACACTATTACTGCAAAACCCACCCACACTATCACTGTAAGACCCACCCACACTATTACTGAAGACCCACCCACACTATCACTGTAAGACTCACCCACATTATTAATGTAAGACCCACCCACACTATCACTGTAAGACTCACCCACATTATTAATGTAAGACCCACCCACACTATCACTGTAAGACTCACCCACATTATTAATGTAAGACCCACCCACACTATCACTGTAAGACTCACCCACATTATTAATGTAAGACCCACCCACACTATCACTGTAAGACTCACCCACATTATTAATGTAAGACCCACCCACACTATCACTGTAAGACTCACCCACATTATTAATGTAAGACCCACCCACACTATCACTGTAAGACTCACCCACATTATTAATGTAAGACCCACCCACACTATCACTGTAAGACTCACCCACATTATTAATGTAAGACCCACCCACACTATCACTGTAAGACTCACCCACATTATTAATGTAAGACCCACCCACACTATCACTGTAAGACTCACCCACATTATTAATGTAAGACCCACCCACACTATCACTGTAAGACTCACCCACATTATTAATGTAAGACCCACCCACACTATCACTGTAAGACTCACCCACATTATTAATGTAAGACCCACCCACACTATCACTGTAAGACTCACCCACATTATTAATGTAAGACCCACCCACACTATCACTGTAAGACTCACCCACATTATTAATGTAAGACCCACCCACACTATCACTGTAAGACTCACCCACATTATTAATGTAAGACCCACCCACACTATCACTGTAAGACTCACCCACATTATTAATGTAAGACCCACCCACACTATCACTGTAAGACTCACCCACATTATTAATGTAAGACCCACCCACACTATCACTGTAAGACTCACCCACATTATTAATGTAAGACCCACCCACACTATCACTGTAAGACTCACCCACATTATTAATGTAAGACCCACCCACACTATCACTGTAAGACTCACCCACATTATTAATGTAAGACCCACCCACACTATCACTGTAAGACTCACCCACATTATTAATGTAAGACCCACCCACACTATCACTGTAAGACTCACCCACATTATTAATGTAAGACCCACCCACACTATCACTGTAAGACTCACCCACATTATTAATGTAAGACCCACCCACACTATCACTGTAAGACTCACCCACATTATTAATGTAAGACCCACCCACACTATCACTGTAAGACTCACCCACATTATTAATGTAAGACCCACCCACACTATCACTGTAAGACTCACCCACATTATTAATGTAAGACCCACCCACACTATCACTGTAAGACTCACCCACATTATTAATGTAAGACCCACCCACACTATCACTGTAAGACTCACCCACATTATTAATGTAAGACCCACCCACACTATCACTGTAAGACTCACCCACATTATTAATGTAAGACCCACCCACACTATCACTGTAAGACTCACCCACATTATTAATGTAAGACCCACCCACACTATCACTGTAAGACTCACCCACATTATTAATGTAAGACCCACCCACACTATCACTGTAAGACTCACCCACATTTTTAATGTAAGACCCACCCACACTATCACTGTAAGACTCACCCACATTATTAATGTAAGACCCACCCACACTATCACTGTAAGACCCACCCACACTATTACTGTAAGACCAGCCCACATTATTAATGTAAGACACACTATTACTGTTTAATGCAAGACCCGCCCACACTATTACTGCTTGTAATTCACTTTGAGTTACTGATTGTTTACTTGTGTAAAGTAAACAATCAAAAACTGCTGGGAATTTTGATCACTTGTATCAGGTCAGACTGAGCATTGGAAATGACTCCATCATGAACGTTGTGTCAGAGGGAGGCCCAGTGCCTCAAAATATAACCAGTTAGCTAAGCGCCGCTGTAGTCACTTTCAGTGCTGTTAGCTCATCGCTAGCAGCGATTACAGTTTACTCTCCCGTAATGGCGGGAGATTCTCACAGATGCTCATTAATCGTTCATGTTACTGACCTAAAGAACCAGCTAAAGAGGGAGAATGAATCACAGAGAATGGTGACTGGATGATATCAGTCGTGTTTCTGTGGCTTAACCGTGTCAGTGATTGTGACTAGGGCTGCAAAATCACATTCAAAATAAAAGTTTGTTTACATACTATATGTGTGTGTACTGTGTATATTTATTATGTATATATAAAAACACACACACAGTATATATTAAGGAAAAATATGTTAGATTTATATATAAAATATTAGGGCTGCCCTCGACTAAAGATTTTTCTGGTCGACTAGTAGTCGTTCATTTGAAGCATTATTACTCTTATCTGTATGACCAGAAATGAGAGAGTATTTTAAGAGCAGGTGAGCGCACCGGCGCCTCCATCTGTCATGCTACTGTTCAGCTTCCCACACGCACAATCACTGGAATAGAGCACTAGCTTTACATTAGATTGAGCGGCCATTGCTACTACTACATACATCTTTCAGATGAAAAGCCATATTTGAGCTCAATGAACGATAGGCGAGCGTTTGGATGTCCTGCCCGACTGTATTACAACATCGACCAGCCGTTAACGATCTGTCCGTCACGGACTGCATGACTTCACCACTTCCTGAGTTTGTCTTGACGAACTTTTTTGTAAGACCCACCCACACTATCACTGTAAGACTCACCCACATTATTAATGTAAGACCCACCCACACTATCACTGTAAGACCCACCCACACTATTACTGTAAGATCTGCCCACATTATTAATGTAAGACACACTATTACTGTTTAATGCAAGACCCGCCCACACTATTACTGCTTGTAATTCACTTTGAGTTACTGATTGTTTACTTGTGTAAAGTAAACAATCAAAAACTGCTGGGAATTTTGATCACTTGTATCAGGTCAGACTGAGCATTGGAAATGACTCCATCATGAACGTTGTGTCAGAGGGAGGCCCAGTGCCTCAAAATATAACCAGTTAGCTAAGCGCCGCTGTAGTCACTTTCAGTGCTGTTAGCTCATCGCTAGCAGCGATTACAGTTTACTCTCCCGTAATGGCGGGAGATTCTCACAGATGCTCATTAATCGTTCATGTTACTGACCTAAAGAACCAGCTAAAGAGGGAGAATGAATCACAGAGAATGGTGACTGGATGATATCAGTCGTGTTTCTGTGGCTTAACCGTGTCAGTGATTGTGACTAGGGCTGCAAAATCACATTCAAAATAAAAGTTTGTTTACATACTATATGTGTGTGTACTGTGTATATTTATTATGAATATATAAATACATACACATACATATACAGTATATATTAAGGAAAAATATGTTAGATTTATATATAAAATATTAGGGCTGCCCTCGACTAAAGATTTTTCTGGTCGACTAGTAGTCGTTCATTTGAAGCATTATTACTCTTATCTGTATGACCAGAAATTTTAAGTATTTTAAGTATTTTAAGAGCAGGTGAGCGCACCGGCGCCTCCATCTGTCATGCTACTGTTCAGCTTCCCACACGCACAATCACTGGAATAGAGCACTAGCTTTACATTAGATTGAGCGGCCATTGCTACTACTACATACATCTTTCAGATGAAAAGCCATATTTGAGCTCAATGAACGATAGGCGAGCGTTTGGATGTCCTGCCCGACTGTATTACAACATCGACCAGCCGTTAACGATCTGTCCGTCACGGACTGCATGACTTCACCACTTCCTGAGTTTGTCTTGACAAACTTTTTTTATCTAGTTTATTCTATTGTATCTGATGACAGAACGGAAGAAAGCAGACCTCGGAGCCGAACTATTTGACAAAGTGAATGAAAGCTCCTCAACGGCGGAGCCGGACGCCAGACTGTGAGTGTTACCTTTCTTTGAGAAGAACTCACGGCTGTATTTTCCAGCTGCGATGATCTTGCGGGGGATTTTTCCCAGTAACTCCATAATCAGAGCGATGTGGTCTGACCCCCGAACACACACACACACACACACATACAACATGAGTTATTCATGCAGCGGTGCAGGAGGACGGACGCTCACACACACACACACACACAGGTCTGATGTTCGGGTGAAACCAGCCCGATTCAGATTAGACCTGCAGGGCCGACTGTCATTAAAGAGGTCATGAAATGGAAAATCAAAATGCCCTTGATATTTGCACATATAAGAGGTTATTCTATAATAAAAACTGGTGTTTTTTAAACTATTTTGAAAATTGGTGAAAAAACTAAATGTAAAAAAGTGAAAATGCAATTCATGACCCCTCTAACATCAAGCCATAAAGCTGCAGTTTGTGTGTGTGTGTTTCTGTGGCTTAACCGTGTCAGTGATTGTGACTAGGGCTGCAAAATCACATTCAAAATAAAAGTTTGTTTACATACTATATGTGTGTGTACTGTGTATATTTATTATGAATATATAAATACATACACATACATGTACAGTATATATTAAGGAAAAATATGTTAGATTTATATATAAAATATTAGGGCTGCCCTCGACTAAAGATTTTTCTGGTCGACTAGTAGTCGTTCATTTGAAGCATTATTACTCTTATCTGTATGACCAGAAATGAGAGAGTATTTTAAGAGCAGGTGAGCGCACCGGCGCCTCCATCTGTCATGCTACTGTTCAGCTTCCCACACGCACAATCACTGGAATAGAGCACTAGCTTTACATTAGATTGAGTGGCCATGTAAAGTTGCTACTACTACATACATCTTTCAGATGAAAAGCCATATTTGAGCTCAATGAATGATAGGCGAGCGTTTGGATGTCCTGCCCGACTGTATTACAACATCGACCAGCCGTTAACGATCTGTCCGTCACGGACTGCATGACTTCACCACTTCCTGGGTTTGTCTTGACGAACTTTTTTATCTAGTTTATTCTATTGTATCTGATGACAGAACGGAAGAAAGCAGACCTCGGAGCCGAACTATTTGACAAAGTGAATGAAAGCTCCTCAACGGCGGAGCCGGACGCCAGACTGTGAGTGTTACCTTTCTTTGAGAAGAACTCACGGCTGTATTTTCCAGCTGCGATGATCTTGCGGGGGATTTTTCCCAGTAACTCCATAATCAGAGCGATGTGGTCTGACCCCCGAACACACACACACACACACACATACAACATGAGTTATTCATGCAGCGGTGCAGGAGGACGGACGCTCACACACACACACACACACAGGTCTGATGTCCGGGTGAAACCAGCCCGATTCAGATTAGACCTGCAGGGCCGACTGTCATTAAAGAGGTCATGAAATGGAAAATCAAAATGCCCTTGATATTTGCACATATAAGAGGTTATTCTAGAATTTTGATCACTTGTATCAGGTCAGACTGAGCATTGGAAATGACTCCATCATGAACGTTGTGTCAGAGGGAGGCCCAGTGCCTCAAAATATAACCAGTTAGCTAAGCGCCGCTGTAGTCACTTTCAGTGCTGTTAGCTCATCGCTAGCAGCGATTACAGTTTACTCTCCCGTAATGGCGGGAGATTCTCACAGATGCTCATTAATCGTTCATGTTACTGACCTAAAGAACCAGCTAAAGAGGGAGAATGAATCACAGAGAATGGTGACTGGATGATATCAGTCGTGTTTCTGTGGCTTAACCGTGTCAGTGATTGTGACTAGGGCTGCAAAATCACATTCAAAATAAAAGTTTGTTTACATACTATATGTGTGTGTACTGTGTATATTTATTATGTATATATAAAAACACACACACAGTATATATTAAGGAAAAATATGTTAGATTTATATATAAAATATTAGGGCTGCCCTCGACTAAAGATTTTTCTGGTCGACTAGTCGTCGTTCATTTGAAGCATTATTACTCTTATCTGTATGACCAGAAATGAGAGAGTATTTTAAGAGCAGGTGAGCGCACCGGCGCCTCCATCTGTCATGCTACTGTTCAGCTTCCACACTCCGCACAATCACTGGAATAGAGCACTAGCTTTACATTAGATTGAGCGGCCATTGCTACTACTACATACATCTTTCAGATGAAAAGCCATATTTGAGCTCAATGAACGATAGGCGAGCGTTTGGATGTCCTGCCCGACTGTATTACAACATCGACCAGCCGTTAACGATCTGTCCGTCACGGACTGCATGACTTCCTGAGTTTGTCTTGACGAACTTTTTTTATCTAGTTTATTCTATTGTATCTGATGACAGAACGGAAGAAAGCAGACCTCGGAGCCGAACTATTTGACAAAGTGAATGAAAGCTCCTCAACGGCGGAGCCGGACGCCAGACTGTGAGTGTTACCTTTCTTTGAGAAAGAATCACGGCTGTATTTTCCAGCTGCGATGATCTTGCGGGGGATTTTTCCCAGTAACTCCATAATCAGAGCGATGTGGTCTGACCCCCGAACACACACACACACACACACATACAACATGAGTTATTCATGCAGCGGTGCAGGAGGACGGACGCTCACACACACACACACACACAGGTCTGATGTCCGGGTGAAACCAGCCCGATTCAGATTAGACCTGCAGGGCCGACTGTCATTAAAGAGGTCATGAAATGGAAAATCAAAATGCCCTTGATATTTGCACATATAAGAGGTTATTCTATGAGCTCAATGAACGATAGGCGAGCGTTTGGATGTCCTGCCCGACTGTATTACAACATCGACCAGCCGTTAACGATCTGTCCGTCACGGACTGCATGACTTCACCACTTCCTGAGTTTGTCTTGACGAACTTTTTTATCTAGTTTATTCTATTGTATCTGATGACAGAACGGAAGAAAGCAGACCTCGGAGCCGAACTATTTGACAAAGTGAATGAAAGCTCCTCAACGGCGGAGCCGGACGCCAGACTGTGAGTGTTACCTTTCTTTGAGAAGAACTCACGGCTGTATTTTCCAGCTGCGATGATCTTGCGGGGGATTTTTCCCAGTAACTCCATAATCAGAGCGATGTGGTCTGACCCCCGAACACACACACACACACACACATACAACATGAGTTATTCATGCAGCGGTGCAGGAGGACGGACGCTCACACACACACACACACAGGTCTGATGTCCGGGTGAAACCAGCCCGATTCAGATTAGACCTGCAGGGCCGACTGTCATTAAAGAGGTCATGAAATGGAAAATCAAAATGCCCTTGATATTTGCACATATAAGAGGTTATTCTACAATAAAAACACGCTGCAAGTTTCATGCCTCAGCACAAACCGCACCTCTAAGAACTGAGCTTATCCTTCTAACAGCAAGTGAACAAGCATGTTTTTGTCTTTTTTTCTTAATTATGTGGCTGGTTTTTCTTAATATATTGTATTGAAACCTACAGCAGAGCCCGGCATTTTGACGATTGCTGTCGTTTCTTATAGAGATGATGCCCAATAAAATGGAGTGAAAATGAGGATGAAAAATAATAATTTTCATATATTTTGAAAATTGGTGAAAAAACTAAATGTAAAAAAGTGAAAATGCAATTCATGACCCCTCTAACATCAAGCCATAAAGCTGCAGTCTTGTGGTGTGTGTGTGTGTGTGTGCACGCACAGGTCTGATGTTCGGGTGAAACCAGCCCGATTCAGATTGGACCTGCAGGGCCGACTGTCATTAAAGAGGTCATGAAATGGAAAATCAAAATGCCCTTGATATTTGCACATATAAGAGGTTATTCTATAATAAAAACTGGTGTTTTTTAAACTATTTTGAAAATTGGTGAAAAAACTAAATGTAAAAAAGTGAAAATGCAATTCATGACCCCTCTAACATCAAGCCATAAAGCTGCAGTCTGTGTGTGTGTGTGTGTGTGTGTGTGTGTGTGTGTGTGCGGCAGCGCTCGCGTCCGTCCTCCCTCTGCCTCTAACACTACCTCTCCGGTTGAAGAATTCCCGGGAATATTTTCCAGAAAGAGCAAAGTGTCGAGGAATGCAGCCAAGAAGCTCTATGATGTGAGCTATATGATCTACAGGAGAGAGAGAGGAAGAGGGAAGCGTGACAGGAAAATACGGAAGAAGGGATCAGAAGGGAGAAAGCGGAAGTTTAGTATCAGCTAAAAACACGTTCTGACATCTGAATGCTAACAGTTATGTTAAGCTTTCAGCTTCATCCTGAGTGACAGCGAAGGACAGAATCAAGATGACAGAGTGAATGACAGAAGCGGATGTGTTCAGAATGGCATATTAGCGTACTGCACATGTGTCGATTTTAAGCATGATCTCGTCATGTTGTGTGTGTAGTTCAGAAAGGGCCTGAAATACTTGATTCTGATTGGTCACTTGTGTCATTCTGTGCTCTAATGACTCTAATGAACTGTATAATTGATCGTTGTCTCGGTGCTACTTTCTCTTCCTGCACATAATAAAATCATTCACGCTTACATCAATATCTCATGTCCATTTACTGATTTATGAAGTAGTCGTATGATTAGTGGGATCATGTCCAGTCAGCTGGTCTTTGCTTCACATCAGTGTTGAACTGACAATCTGGTAAATATTTTGCCATTTTAATCCAAGTTTAAAAAGTAAAATGAGTCAATATAATGTTCAAAAATCACGCTGATCACAGAATTCTTGTTGATTCTCTTGTTAAAGGAGTACTGAATCCAGTCAGTCTAGTTCATGGATTCGAGAGCAGTGAACATGTAGTGATGTAAAATCAATCGTGATATTGTCTGATTAACCCTATCCCCTAGCCATAAACAAGCAGTGTGTTTGTAGAAAATCAAGGGTCATGGCAAACATGTTGAAGACAGCGGTTTACGGTGTGCAGTATGAGCTCGACACCATTCTGAGCATTAGGTTCGTAACGCAGGCGGCTGAGCAGTACCTTCATCACGGGAGTAGTCTTCACCAGAGTGCGGCTCAAACAGATAGTCCCCGGTGGCCAACTCAAACGCCTGTGGACGACAGACAGATCAAACTCAGTGACAGACGCAGAGGCAGCAGATGCGTGACGGTCGGATGCTCACCATGCAGGCCGTGCTCCATATATCAGCGGGAGTGTTGTATCCCGCTCCGATCAGCACCTCGATGGAGCGGTACTGCCGCGTCTGGATGTCCTCCGTGAAGTGCTTGTGCTGGAAACGCATTGATCACACAGCTCACGTCCAGCCTTACACAGGTATTTACAATCATATGGACAGTCGAAGTGTTCTGTATAACGTCTTACCACCCAGCATGCATTGCCCAGATCAGCGATTTTGACTCTCAGAACGTCTGCGTTCCTCGGATCCAGAGGATTCACCAGCAGATCGGTCGCTCTGACCCTCGCTGCAGACGGACAGACAGACAGATGCACAGAGAGCTTATTAACCTGCTCAAGGAAACAGCAGTCATGTATGTATGCATGTATGAAGCGTGTCTGACCTCTGGGCGTGTCTCCGGTGCTGGACGAGGACACTGTTCGGCTGCGGTCGCTGTTGCGCGCCTGGGTCTCGTCGTGCTCGCAGTCGTCTTGTTGGGGATCCAGAGGAAGCTCGGGGAAGCGTGGCGTTGTGCCGTGGTGCCGCGCTCCGTTCGTCAGCACGGTCTCTCCGTTGAAAAGTTCGTACGAGGTGTCGGAAGCGTCGCGGTCGGTCGTGCTGATCTCAGACTCCACCAGAGGGCAGAGCAGAGGCGAGGACAGACGCTCCTGCGCACACATGATCACATGACCGTTCGTTTTACAGGTGTTGTTGTGGTCCTTGCTGGACGGTTCCTGGCCTTCATCCTCTGCCTCCTCCTCGTCATATTCTTCATCTTCCTCCTCTTCTTCCTCCTCCTCCTCTTCGTCTTCTTGTCTCTCTATCGTCTCTTTAGGTGGATCTGCTTCTTCCTCGTTTGGACACTTGTGTGTCTTCGGCTCGTCCTCGGCGCTCTGTGAGGGTGTGGCTTCCGTTTCCTCTTCCTCTGTTGTATCCTCCTCTTCCTCTCTCACGTCTTCATTTCCATCCTGCTCTTGTTCTTTTGAGTTTCCACACTCGTCCTCGTTCTCAGGAGTGTCCTGTCGCTCGGGTGGAGTGTGTGTGCGCCTGTGTGACTCTTCTTCAGCAGGACAGTCGGCGGTGGGAAGGATGTCACAACCTTCCTCGTTCTCCTCTATTTCCTGCTGATCCTGATCCGGCTCCGCACCTGAGAGACAGAGACATATCTATGAGGAAACATTTTAGACCGCCATCAACTCAAAAAACAATACACAACCAAACTTTATGTTGTCTTCATTATTGCAAAGAACTACAAATATACAAAGACATTCTACAGCCCTGAATCATCACAACAAATGGCCATACATAATAAACATAAAGTCAAAAAAAGAACAGCTTGACAGCAAAATGAAGAGATCTTCTGAACAAACTAATGGAATTGGATGCTTTTGCTCAGAAGAGGAGACAAACCTCTCCAAAGAGTTACAAGAGTGATCCGATTCATCAACAAAAGACTCACTGGAGTCTAATGCAATCGCAGAAAATCAGACCATCTTCAACTGGTTCAACATGCAGCAGCTGGAGTCCTGACCAGAGAATCCGATCGTCTGATCATCACTAGCAGCTTATCCATTATAAACTAGTGCTACACACTGACAGTAACTGAGCCATCTTCATCTGCACGTTAGGAGAAATCTTTGGCCAAAAATGTGAACAGAAAGCGTTACTTCATACGCTGAACACTGGAGACAGAGTAGTGTTTATGTGAAATGATCCTGCTTAAGGAACAAATGATCTACCATTTAAACAAGGGACTGAAAAGGGAGCAACAGTGCCATACATGATCACACAGGGAAAATGAGATGTTTCCAAGATTAAAAAGAAGATGTTTGGTCTAGGGAAGCAGGATTTGTTTACATTCCTAAAACCAAGGGATCACTTTCATCAACACCTATTTTTTACAAAAGATGACGTCTCTGGACTGAACTCACATGTGTGGTTGGTGAGTCTGACGGGCCGCTCCTTCTCTCCTTCGGCCTCCTCGTCCTCATCATCCTCTTCATCTTCCTCGCTGTCGGCCAGAGCCAAGCTGGGACCGTGTGCGGCGTCCGACGCTCCGCCGGCTCTCTGCATGCTGATGCTGTCTGGATGCTGGATGCTGGGTGCGTGATGTGCGTAATTGCCTGTGTAATGATGCTCTTGACGCAGGTCCAGTGCCGTCTCTGTGTAATGCTGCGCGCTCTTTACGACCTTCATCGCAACAAAACGCTTCGCTCTGTTAACACACACAAACACACAGGTTATACTCGCACCGAGTAACACACACACACACACACACTGCCTGCACTGGTGACGCGGTCACTCACTGAATATCCCAGCACAGCCAGACGGTGGAGAAGTGACCCCAGCCCAGCTTGCGGACGACATGGTATCTGCCGTTAAACAGGTCTCCGATCTTCACGGGATGGTAACCTCCTGCAGCACGAGAGAAACACGATACAGTCGACTGATGGTACTTGTAGAAACAGGAGAATCCGGCTAATGTTTCCTTCAGCTCAACTGTACGACTGGTGTCCTCGGACCAGCACTCACGTTTATTAAAGTCTGTTTTAACACTTGATTCCATTGGTTGAGTTTGATTCCTCCTTTTCCAGCACAGGTTTCTTTCACTTTGTATTTTTTTCTTGTATATTTTACCGTGGTATGTTTGTGTCATTGATGTGAATATAGCCAAGAGTACTACTGGCATTACTAGATTTCCACTCAAGAGGAGAAGAAGACAAACTACTACTGATAACTATTTCTGCTACTAAAACTACAAGACTAAACATATCACATTCAGTGATGACAAAAAATTACTGGAGGCTGGAAACTCACGCACCTGTGAAGAACGAGGCATAAATCAGGTCAGTGTCAGTCCAGCTTTTACTCAACATAGACAGAAACCTGGAAGCTCTCCTGACAGACAGACAGACAGAAACAGACAAAGAGACAGACAGGCAGACAGACAGAGACAGACAGACGGACAGACAGAGACAGACAGACAGACAGACAAAGAGACAGACAGACAGACAGACAGAGACAGACAGACGCAGACAGAGAGACAGACAAAGAGACAGACAGACAGACAAATAGACAGACGGAGAGACA